GGGGGAGGGGATCGTAGCAGAGCAGCGGAGAGGGGAGGAGAGCGAGGGGAGGGGGTCAGAGGGGAAGACGAGAGATCGGAGCGGAGCGGCGGGAGAAGGAGAGGCTCAGGAGGAGGAGGGGACCCGCCCTCCACCAGCCCACACTCCACTTTCCTCCTTCTCTATTTCTGGTTCCCATTCCGACGAACGTCTATGCGATACACTGGGCAGCAGATCGCCTCATAACAGCTTGAGGTGCACACGTGAGAGCACACGGCAGTGCGAGCATTCGGACACCGCGCAAATGTGAGAGACCATCTCCCTCCTTCTCCTACTCCTTCTTCCCTACTTTCTCCCGCCAACGCGGCAAGAACGCCGCGAAGGCGAGCCTTGGGCTCAGCCCGCTGGCGCGACACGAGCACCCACACCGAGAGACAACTCGAGGTGGCTACGGAACGCCAAGGGAAGAGCACGTTTGGCTGGCGGGTGGGGTGGGGGGGGCTCCTCCTCCTCCTCCTTCTCCTCCGCCGTTTCCTCCTCCCTCCTCGGTGGGAAAGCAAGCGCCCCTGCTGCCGATCATGCCCACGAGCCTAGGCCAGCGAGGCCAAGATCGAGCAACACGTGTGTTTTTTTGGTGGGGGAGGGCGTTCCGGTGCAGCGGAGGAGCAGAAGCTGGAGAGGACGGCGCAGCCGATGTCCCAGGGTGTATCCAGCCTGTGTTCGTCATTGCTGCAGCACCGCCGAACACATGATCCAGGAACTGGTGAAGACATCTGGGTCAGCTCCCAGGAAGTTTCTTAACACTGACCTGTGCCAATATCTGAAAGAGCGTGTTCTACCGCTGCTGGCGGAAAACCGGGGGGGGGGTCACTACCGGTTCGAACCCCTCCCCCCCCCCCATCCGGAAAACCGGGGGGGGGGTCACTACCGGTTCGAACCCCTCCCCCCCCCCAGCTCATCATGAAAAGGGGGGGGGTCACTACCGGTTCGAACCCCCCCCCCCCCTCGAACTCGAAAACCGGGGGGGGTCACTACCGGTTCGAACCCCCCCCCTCGAAAACCGAGGGGGGGTGCGGACAGTGGTGGGGACGGTGGTGGTGGGGACAGTGGTGAGGGGACAGCGGGACAGTGGTGGGGACAGTGGGACAGTGGGACAGTGGTGGGGACGGTAGTGGTGGGGACAGTGGTGGGGACAATGGTGGGAACAGGGGGGGACAGTGGACAGTGGTGGTGACGGTGGTGGTGGGGACAGTGGTGTGGGGACAATGGGAATGAGGTGGAAACAGTGGGACAGTGGAGGGTCCAATGGTGGTGGGGACAGTGGTGAAGGCGGTGGCGAGGACGGCGGTGGGACAATGGGACACAGGTACAGTGGGGACAGTGGTGGGGACAGTGGGGACAGTGGTGGGAACAGTGGGACAGCTCAGTGGGACAGCGGAGGAGTCAGTGGGACAGTGGGGACAGTGGGGATAGTCGGGCAATGGTTGGGGCCGTGGAGACAGTGGGGAGAGTGGAACCGTGGTGGGAACAGTTCTGGGGACAGCGGGGACAGTGCGACAGTGGTGGGGGCACTGGTGGGGACAGTAGGGGCGGTGGTGGAACCAGTGGGGACAGTGGTGGTGAGGACAGTGGTGCTGGGAACACCAGTGGGGGATGTGATGCGGACGGTGGTGGGGACCGGGGGTCGTTTGCTGGCGGTGAGTAGGGGGGGGGGGGGTTCGAACCGGTAGTGACCCCCCGGTTTTCGGAATCCGGTAGGGGGGGGGGGGGGTGGGGTGAGGGGGGGGAGGGGGTTCGAAGGGTTAGTGACCCCCCCCCGGTTTATTCGAGCGGTGAGGGGGTGGGGGGGGGGGGCGGGGTTCGGGGAGGGGGGGGGGGTTTTGCCGAGGGGAGGCGTGGGGGGGGGGGGGGAGGGGTTCCAGCATGGGGGGGGGGGGGATTTTCGGAGGGGGGGGGGGGGGGGGGCGACCCCCGGGTTCCGGAGGAAAAGGTTGGCAATTTTCCACAGTAAAGCGGCGGTGGATCACGCTCTCTCCAATATCTAGTATTAACGCTGGGGGGAGGACCGTGCTCAAGACGCTGTGCCAGCTTTCCCGCAAGCTGGTCCAGAAATGCTGGCCCAGCTTCTCGTTTGGAGGTTTCTAAATCAGATGTTCGATTGTAGCCATCTGCTGCCGTGGCATGATGATAGGGCGACGAGATCTAGACATATCCACTGTTCCCTGGCCAGGCCCATCCTGAACCCAGCAGCGGTGTACACGCCACGCCCTCTGGCTTGGCCAGGAGGGCGTACACACAGCTCCTGGGTTCAGGATGGGCCTGACCAAGGATCAGTGGATGTGTATAGATCTCGTTGCCCGACCACCTGCTGCCGTAGTAACATCCGTGTCCCGTAGCCTGCGAGGACGAAGGGCGCATTGCACATGTGCGGGGCAAATCGCACCCCGCAATATACAAGCAAAGCGCACACCAACAACGGGGGCCGCCGACGGCACAGCACGGCACTGCGCGACAGCACGGCACCGCGTGGCACGAAGGCAACACGGCGCACCACGGCACCCCACACCCGCTCCACCAAATCTCCTCCTCCTCCTCCTCCTCCTCCTCCTCCTCCTCCTCCTCCTCTTCCTCCTCCTCCTCCTCCTCCTCCTCCCCCTCTCCTCCCCCTCTCCTCCTCCTCCTCCTCCTCCTCCTCCACCTCCTCCTCCACCTCCTCCTACTCCTCCTCCTTCTCCTCCTCCTGCGTACCTCAGAGCATCACGGCACGGCGTGGCTCCACGGTGCAGCGCCTCGGATCTGCCCCGCCGAGTCGCGTGTGGGTTTGGGGGGTACCTCCGTTTGGCACGGCCGGGGGAAGTCCTCTCACACGGGGTGACAGAGGGGGGGGGAGGAACGGTGGCGAGCGGAGCAGGCAGGAGTGGGCAGGGAGCAGAGCACTCGCGTGGGGAGAAGTGGAGCGGAGAGGGGAAGCGTGGGTAGGCATGGTGCGGAGTGCGGAGGAGGCCAGAGGGGCGGTGAGGAGTGGAGTAGAATGGAATGGGGAGGAAAAGGAGGAGTGAGGAGTGCATTTGAGTGGAGTGGGGTTGGGAACGGAGGATGCGGCTAGGGATGGGGCGAAGTTTGGGAAAAAGGCAGTGGAGTTAAGCCTACGAAGGGCAGGGAGGAGTCCAAAGGAGCGCGGATGACGGCGGATAGCTGGTTGAGTCGGAAGGAGTGTGGGGGGGTGGAGTTGGATGGGGGAAGATGTGGACAAGTGGGGCGGCGTGTGAGGGAGTGGGGAGGAGTGGAGTGGGAAAGGGGGAGTTGGAAGGAGTAGCCAGGGAGTAGAGTAGAGCGGGTCGTGTGGAGTGGATCTGAAGAGAGCGGAGGGCAGTGGGCAGGAGTACGGAGGGCTGGCGAGGAGTACATTGCGGAGGAGTGATGGGGAGGGGGGGGGAATGGTGCGGAGTGCGGTGGAGTGGGGCTGGAACGAGTGGAGAGGAGCGGAGACAGGTGCGGAGAAGTGGCGAGGAACGTGGCAGTGCGGAGCTGATCCTCCTCCTCCTCCTCCTCCTCCTCCTCCTCCTCCTCCTCCTCCTCCTCCTCGGGCAGTCGGCCCTTCGATGCGATTCGGTGCGGCCGCGAGCCACGTCGTGCCGCCGCAGCTGCTCCTCCATCGCCTTGTGCAGGGCGTCTTCCCGCTGGCCGCAGTGCTGCAGATAGCGATCCCGGCTGTTGCCCTGCACGCGCAAAAGGTGCCTGCGCGCCACCACCATGCCTGGCCGGGGCCGTCCTGGGCCCTGGCATGCTGTACACGTCCCCCTCGCCGAGGCCAGGGAGCCTGCAGTCGAAACGCTGTCACAAGGAGCCCCGAACACGAGGAGCGAGGGCCTTTTTTTGTTCCATGGGGGGTGAAGCTTCGCTGTCCCATAGAAGGCCTACGGAGAAGTTAAGACAGACGGAGGGACACCGAGCCCCTCCCTAGCGAAAAGGGTTCCTTCTTCGGCGACCCGACGGTACACGCCCTCCTGGCCAAGGCCAGGGGAGCCTAGAGTCGGGAGCGGCCAAGAGGGGGGTGTCCAAGAGGGGGGGGTGCAAATCATGACCGGCGGCATGTGCGCGGCCCAGCGGGGGGGCCAGGGACGTAATGAAATAAGAAGAGGCGCCATGAAATCTTGGGAAATATCATGGCCCGCGCCATGATGTCCACCCCCCCGTAGTCATCACCCCCCTCTTTTCCGCTCCCGATAGAGACGATCCTTGGGCTCAGGCTGGCCCTGGCAAGGCTCGGTTGCGGTGTACAGGTGCCCTCCGCGGACCTGAAGGTTCCCTGCCAGCCGCAGCTCGAGCCACCCGTCGAGCTCCTGGCAAGGCCGATGGGTCTGTGCGCGGCACGGCCCCCGTGCCTTCGAAAAGCGAGGTGCGAGGACGCAGATGGAAACCCAGCCATGCGAGGTCATGATTTTTGTCAATGCGCCGTCCCTGGAAGTCCCGAACCTTTTCCCGGGACCGATTTCGCATCCTGAGTCGTTTTTGTTGACGGTCCCGAGGCCTGGCGAGGGCCTCCAGAGGCCGAAAACTGCCAAAAACCTCCCGTCGTTTTTTGTTTTACGACGAGGTCATGTCTGGGAAAATATAGACGAAGCAAATGCGTAAACATCAACTGTGGAAGGCGGATGTCTTGTGGATCGGCGCTGGGCCACCCCCCTCGGCGCACGCACGGGGCGCGCCAGGGGGCGGCGCCGGAGGCACCGCCGGGGTGAGCCTGGCACCGGTCCAAGAGATCCGCGCGGAGCTCCGCGTCGTCGTCGTCGTCGCCGTCCCTGCAGCGTGTTGAGAACACACGCCCACTCGCCCTCGCGTCGCCGGCGGCCCCCCCCCACGCAGCAGACACAGACGACGAGAAGACTGGCATAACCCCATACCCACGATAGTAATGTACCCCCCCTATACACATAAGAGTTGATTATCCACGGCCAATAAGAGTTTGGTCGGGGGCGCGGGGCGCGGAGGCCGAACTTCATTATCACCGTGAAAAGTTCGCCATCGAGGTTACTTCCTCCTTATGTTGAGATAACAACACCAAGCGAAGCGAACACGTTTTTTTTCAGGATGTCTCAAGCGAAGCCAATGTCCTTCTGTCTCTTTGTAGTTATTTCTGTCTTTCTTTCTTTCTTTCTCTGTCTCTCTCTCTCTCTCTGTCTCTCTATCTCTTTCTCCTCCTCCTCCCTCTGGCACCCTGAACTTGTTTATCGCTGGGGTTGATTATCCTGGGAAAACGAGGCACATGATCTACCTACACGAGCAGATGAAAATTCCAATTTCCATTAAGCGTTTACACATTAAATCAAATAAGTTTTAAACTTTGGATTTTTGCTATATCCTTCTCCTCTCCTCCTCTTGCTCTTTCTCCTCATCCTCCTCCTCCTCCTCCTCCTCCTCCTCTTCCTCCTCTACCTCCTCTTCTCTTTTTATATTTCTGCTTATCTCTCTATCTTTCTTCTCCTCCCCCTGCCCCCCTGAACTTGTTTATCGCTGTGGTTGATTATCCTGGGAAAACGAGGCACATGAGGAATCTCTATATAGAAACTCCGAGCTTCAGCTCCGTATCATAAAAGTATTAAAAACCGACGCGTTCCTTCAGCCTCCTTACAGGGCACCACAATTTTTCAATTTCGTTTTTGGAATTAAATGTCGATTTATTAATGGCGAATAATATAGAAGTGAAGCTCAGAGGCGCGCGCGCGCACCTCCGAGCTTCAGTTCTGTATCATAAAAATAATAAAAAGCCGACGCGCTCCTTCAGGATGTTTCAGAGAGGACCAAAAGCCAAGGATGTCTCAAGCTATCCTCGGCTTTGGCTCCTCTGTTAACATCTTTATGCTGGCCTCTGGTGGGCAACTTTTATTATCACCCCGTAACCGCCGAACTTTATGATCCCTGGGGGTTTATTCTCGGGAGCATGGGGTTAACAAAAATACGTCCAGGGGCACGTGAGTCGTCAAGAGCTGCGGTTCCAGAGGTGCTCTGGAGCCTCTGTGGGCAAACAAGGTCTGTGGGGGATACAGTGGAGGCCAGTCCACAAGAAACCCAACGCTGAGACCCCAGGACGTCCATTGATTTTTTGTGTGGTAGCGTCACGTTTTCCATCGAGAAGCCATCGACATCCAAGAAACCCAGGGCACCCCGGATGGCAAGCAAGATGTTTCCTGGCATGGGTCTCCACTGTATTGTTCTGACGTCTTTGGACCTGCGAAGACGTCTAAAGCCTCCAGCGGCTGGCTGGGACCTCTGGGAGGTCTCCGAGGGCTCCTGAAGACATCCCCCCCTCCTTTCGGCCATGCCAAGAGGTGAACAGGTTTCGCGATTCGAAAGGAGGGGGAACGTTAGGGGGACCAGCTAAGGAGGGGAAACATCGACCTAGAACTGGCGATAGATCGCCGATAGTGCGGCGATAGGCCCCCGACAACGGATTGGCACTGTCCTGGGCGGGTTGGGCTATCAGGCCCCTGCCAGCGATGAGTGGGCGATTGCATGTGGAGAGCTCCATAAGCCTCCGGCGGCCTCCTGAGACCTCCTACCCCCTCTTTTCGGCCAGGTGGTGCGGTGCACAGGCTGCGACTTCGAGCCTCCGATCTGCAGGGGGCGCGTAGAGGACAAGGAACGGCATGAACATAAACTCTGGGAAGTCTAACTGGATTTCTTGCGTCGGCGCTGGAGGGAGGAGGAGGAGGAGGAGGAGGAGGAGGAGGAGGAGGAGGAGGAGGAGGAGGAGGAGGAGGAGGAGGAGGAGGAGGAGGAGGAGGAGGAGGAGGAGGAGGGGAGGGAGGAGGAGGAGAGGGAGGAGGGAGGGAGGAGGAGGAGGAGGAGGAGGAGGACGATGAGGAGGAGGACGATGAGGCCCCACGCACATCCAAGAGATCCGCGCGGACCTCCGCAGGCACCGCTGGTGGCACAGCAGCTGGACCCTCGCGGGCAAGAGCAACAACAAACACACTCTGTGCCGCGGTGCTCCGGCTGCTCCTCCTCCTCCTCCTCCTCCTCCTCCTCCTCCGCCCTCCTCCTCATCCTGCTCCTCCTCCTCCTCCTCCTCCCTCCTCTGGGGTGCTGCTTCGTTAGGCCTGCCAGGGCGAAATGATCATGCTGTTCGCTTGTTCTTCAAGATCTGTGGACTCCCCCTGCACTGCAGGGGCGCGGCGGCCCCCAGGGTTGGAAAGAAAGCTGCCCGCGCCGGCCTGGTCGAAGGGGATGTCCTCCACGCAGATCTCCACGAAGCCCAGGCCAGCGTGCTTCCGATCGCTCACGTCCAACTCCCCCGCGTTCATCTGCAACATATCTACTGCGTTTTCCTCCTCTTTCGGCGGAGGGCCGGGAGGGGAAATGAGAATGGGTGGGCCTTCTAGGCCAGAAGAACATCCCTCAAGAACATGGGACCCTCCGCCGGCCAAAGGCACACAGAACGTCCAGGGGTACCCTCCCCAGGACGCACAGGAACGCCCAACAGACACGACGAACGTGCGGGTAGAGGAGGAGGAGGCGGAGGAGGAAGAGGAGGAGGAGGAGGTTGAGGGGGAGGGGAAGAGGAGGAAGCGAAGGAGGATGAGGAGGAGGATGACGAGGAGGAGAAGCAGCAGGAGCAGGAGGAGGAGGAGGAAGAAGAGGATGAGGAGAAGGAGGAGGAAGAAGAGGAGGACGAGGAGGAGGAGGAGGAGGAGGAGGAGGAGGAGGAGGAAGGAGCAGGAGGAGGAGAAGCAGGAGGTGGAGGCAGGAGGAGGAGGAGGAGGAGGAGGAGGAGCAGGATAAGGAGGGAAGGTGAGGAGGAGGAGGAGGAGGAGGAGAAGGAGAAGGCGAAACCGATGTGCTAAGCAGGGGTGTAGCCCCCCCTGCCGTCATAGGGGGGAGCCTCGGTAGCCTTCTTGACAGGGGGAGCCTCAGCGGCTTGTGACCCCCCTCCGAGGACTGGCCCCCCCCCCCCGTAGAAGGCAGGCAGGAGGGCCAAGGCTCCCCCCAGAAACAACAGGAGGGCTTCCGAAGAGCCCCCTTGGCTTCGTAGGCGGCTGCCCTCCTCGTGCCGCCCCCTTCGGCACGCCGCCGGTCCTTGTCACTGTCCATGTCGTTCACGGCAAAGCGGACCATCGACGCTCCCGCAACGATGTCCACGCTGCAGTGGTCGTCCCACACCGGGCTCCGCGAGGCCCTGACGTGCGGGGTCTCGTGGACCGTGGTGTCGTCCAGGAGGACCCTGACGAAGGGATGCGGGTGCCTGAGGAAGCCTCCGCCCTGCGACGGCACAAGGCCTCGGGCCTCGACGAGCGTGACCTCCGGTGCCTCCTAGACGGGGTCTTGGCAGATGGGGTCGGAGGAGCGCACCGCACCGCCAGTGCATCGGCGATGCAATGCATCGTCGATGCATCGTCGATGCATCGCCGACGTCGGCGACGCATCGGCAAGGTCGGCGTGGAGAACATCGGGCGCCGCATCGAGCCGGTGCGGCGGTGCGGCGGTGCGGCGCGATGCGATCCTCCGAAGCCCCTCCACTCCGAAACCCCATGCAGGAGGCCCAGAGACCTCTAGCCGCGCGTGGGCCCCCAGGATGAAGCCGGCGCGCTCCGGCTGCGACACGCACTTCCAGCGGTGCTGGTGGAAGGGCAGCCGGCGCTCGAGGCCCTCGCGCAGCGGGGCCGCCGCTCTCTCGAGCTCCTCCGGCACGTGCGTCCTCTGCCGGTGGTGGCCCCGGAAGCTCCGGGGGCTCAGGTGTGCCTCCTCGTCGGTGTTGATCGGGGTGTAGTCGTGATGGTGCGAGCCTTCGGGGATGGACAGACCTCCCTTTAGTAAAACGTGGTTTAGTGAGAACGACCTCGGGCCCAGACCTGGCGGGCGCAAGCCTGGAAAATGACGGCCACGGCGCCCTCTCGAGAAGCGAAAACGGACAATTCACTAATCGACGTGTCACTGTTGGGGGTTCTGTCCACCCCCGAGAGCCTGGCATGTGCGCATGCGCCCATGATGGCCAGTGCGGGCGGGGAACATGGAGGTGGGAGGCGCGAGATCCATCGCCCATGGCCTGAGACAGCAGCTCTGGACTGGCGCTGAGCCCATGGCTGCGTGCGGCAGTGGCAGCGCAAACATCTTCGAACCGAAGCTGATCTAGATGACCTATAATGCTGGCGCTGTTGATCGCAAGCCCCACTGAATGATAGATCCCCACGAGGAGAGCCATTATGGCTCCGCGCTTCTTGGCATCGTGCCATGCCCAAGGACGCCGCATGGCCTGAATACCCGAAGGCCCAAACCAAGCAGGAGTTCGGAGCAAACTGTGGACTCAGGACCGAACGAAGCGGTACGCAATGTGAACGTGAGAAGCAACTTTATTTTCCTTGCTCCTCATCCCCGCCGCACTCCGTCGTCCTCCCCCCTCTTACCTCTTCCCCCTCCGCCCCTCTCCGCCTCCTCCCTCTACCTCCCGCGCGTATCTTGACTGCGGCACGAAGCAAGAAGCAGACACCCTTCAGGAAGCCAACTGCAGAACTCCAAGGTGGAGAGCGGGCCAGTGTGGGCGGCAGCGGTGGCATGAGCAGGACGAGGGGGGGAACAGCGAGGGGTAGAGAGAAGGAGGAGGAGGCGGAGGAGGAGGAGGAGGCGATTCGTGTGTGTGTGTGTGTGTGTGTGTGTGTGTGTGTGTGTGTGTGTGTGTGTGGGGGGGGGGGGGAGGGGTGGAGGGGTGTGGTACTGGGGGGCAGGAAGCATAAAAGGAACGCGGAGTCAATGTGAGAGGTTTGGAAGACAGGAGACAGGAGGGACGACAGGAAAGGCGGGACATGAATGAGGGGGAGGACAAGAGAGGGGTTGCGCCGCGGGCGGATGTGGAGCAAGTGCCCTCGGCAGGGGCTGTGGGCAATTACTGCAGCACGTCGGCGCACTGGCTAGGCTTGTCTATCAGGCGCGCCAAGTGCGAGGGAGGGCGGGGCCACCCTGCGCACTGGTGAAGTATGCCAGCGGACGCCCCTGCGGGAGGTCGACGTGCGTGACGGGCTGTGGGCGCGCGTGGGTTGCAAACGCGGCCGCGTACGTCTGGGGGTCGATCTGGGCAGGAAATGCGCGGCGGGTGGGCCGAGCTGGACACACGTGGAGCAGATGCTACCGCACCCGAAGGGAGAGGGGGAGGAGGAGGAGGAGGAGGAGGAGGAGGAGGAGGAGGAGGAGGAGGAGGAGGAGGAGGAGGAGGAAGAGAGGAGGAGGAGGAGGAGGAGGAGGACAAAGAGGAAGAGGAGAGGAGGAAGAGGAGGAGAAGGAAGAGGAGGAGGAGGAGGAGGGGGAGGAGGAGGAGGAGGAGGAGCAGGAGGAGGAGGAGGATGGGGAGGAGGAGGAGGAGGAGAAAGCGGAGGAGGATAACGAGGAGGAGGAGGAGGAGTTCGAGTTCGACCCCATCCGCGAAGCGAAGTCATTAAACTCACGAGCCCCTGCGAGCCTGCTTTGCCCTGCTGACTACCTTAGGCCACTGGCCATCGGCACTGCGGGACAAGTACTCCGATCGGCAGGAGTTCGCGGTCCTGAGGCATTCGTTCCCAAGGCCCTTAAACATCTGACTGGCGAAGCAGCCGCATCGGCTACATAACCGAAGCTTCAGCGCGCCGTGCAAACGCATGCAGTGCGTGTGATGTACCCACCCCCCGAAATTTGCAGCTTTACTCCAAACGGGACCTCGAAAGACTCACCAAAAGCGCGAACAGGGTGAAAACACGGGGTGTCCCTCAAGAGGGCTCTTTTTGCTACACCGAGTGCACCGGCGCCTCGTTTCATCAAGGTAATGGGTGGTCGAAAAAATCTGGACCACCGAGGGGGCAGGAGGAGGACGGCAGGTCTCACGCTTTATCCTTTCCCTCGACCCCGGTTGTTTCTCTGCCTCAAGCGTATCCATCGTGGCGCGGAAGAGGCGGAGCCTGACAGCATACACCTTGTGCTCCCGAACTGCTGCACGCGCTCTCGTCTCTTTGTCAATCTGACACGTAGCAACCGCGGCCCCTGCGAAGGTGTCCGCCGCAGAATTGCCCAAGATCGTCCACATCGGGAACCTCCCAGACAAAGCCTCGCGGGCCTCCAGATGTCATTTGACAAATAACACCACCACAGAGGTTGGATCGTGATGGGCCCCGAGATGCGTGCCAATCTTATGTCACAAATCTGCGTCTTGTCCCGAGGGTGACTCATACTGTCGGTTCGCCCACCCCTCGGCGGCATATTCACTGTCTGTCGTGCACACCACACAGCCTACAGCCCTCTGAACGGCCAGCAACAGCGCGTGGGGTTCCCCCCCAGGCACGGACTGGCGAGCACCGACTAACCCGCCCAGGACAGCGCTCTCGATCACGACAAACTTGAACTGCGAAACATGAGCAACTGCCAAGCCTACTCGCCGACACCGGGTCGAGCTGGACAACTCGCCGCCACTGGCACCTTCGAACAGGAACAGCGGATTGTGGCGATAGCCGCTCCCGATTAAACCTTCGTCAGCGGCAGCGTGTCCGCGCCAGTCTCAGCGCTCATCTGCAGGGGGCGGTGGGGCGTTCACCAGTGTCGAAGGAAGTGGCCCTCGTAGCCAGAAGCACTCAGTGGCCTTCCAGCTGGAGAAGGCTTCGCTCACAAATGATTCTGAGAATCTGTATGATGCCGCATCTATGTTCTTGCTCCAGCTCCACACCCGATGAAAAAAAAAGGTGTTTCGTCTTCCTCCCCGCAGCGGGGGCAAACCCAATCTACCTGAAAACTTGCTGGTGCCCAGTCTGCTCGTCTCGTGCGTGTCCAGAAAGCTCCAGCAGCTACCGTCACCAAAAGTTACGCGAGGCGTGCTCCACGGTCAACCGACTGCAGTTGGCGATGCAGCCTACGAGTGGACATGCAACCGATGCTGTCCTCCATGCCGCCCCCGCAGTAGTGCGACGACGCCTGTGACCACAGAGACTTGCCAATGGATTGTTGGACGTTCTGAATGAGCAAACCTGGGTCATCGACGTCTGGCCAACCTGTCCACGCCGCGTCGGGGAAGTGCCACTCGATCGATTCATCTCCAGGCGCCGCCGCTGGTCGAAACCTATCGGTAGCCGTCGCAGGACCCCATGCATTGTCCAACAGCAGCGCGATGACGGCAGAGACTGGCCCCCTGATGTGCCGCGAGCGCTGCCCTGGGGAGATGGCCCGAAGCTTCTCCACCAGGGTGCACCACGCGCGACTAACCCCAGGGCGCATGGATGGTTCCTCATGTCAGACGCGGAACCACTGCCGCAACATCTCTCCGGGGAGCTTGTAGGCAGGGTCGCGCGGTGCTTTGATGGCCAGCACCGCGGTAAGACACCTGCCCTTGGATGGCGCGGTAAGGACCGCGCCCAGTCGGCGCCTGCTCTGCTCCACATGGCCTCCGAAGGTGCCGAACATTTGATGCCCATAAGCCCCGCAGCCTGAGCTCCTAATCGTTCCAGCTTCGACGTCGCCCCGTGCTGGCGTCCAGCCCTGGCGAAACGTTGAACGCGAGCGTGCATCCAACGGTGCTTGTCAGCTCGTTTCCGTCTTGTGGCTCGCGCGCGCCATCGCCCTGCACGGAGGTCTGTGCCCGACCAGCAGAGCGCTGAGGTCGCGCGGTGAAGCCAGCTCGGCGGCGGGCGCGGCGCGCGCGAACTACACCGCGGACTTCGCGGCGACCAGTAGATGCATGGAGCGGGGGCCCTGGCGCGCGTCTCAGTGACTAGCGACGAGTTTCTGCCGCGCGCTAGCTCGAGATCCCACGACCCGCTGGGCGAGGTCGCCCACCCAGACGCGGCGCCCCATGCGAGGACGGGCTGCGCAGATCTCATCGAAAACGAAGCACGCCATGATGCGACCGAACCTGGTGCCCGAGCGGGGCCCTTGGATAACCGAGCGCGCGGGCGCAGTAGAAAGAGCCCACGAGCTGCGTAGACCAAGGGCCCGCGGGGCCATGCACTGGAGCGCCTCAAGGCACAACATTACAGCAGGGAGGCCGAGCTGCAAACCCTTGGGGAGCAGGACCTCCCACGTAATATTGTCGTAGAAGCCGTCGATCCCCGAAAAGCCAGACCCTGAATTGACTCCCAGCTGGTGGCCGACCTCCCCCTCCAGGGTGCGAACAAAGGCTTCGCGAAGAGCCGCGTTGCCTTGGACTGCAGCGCCCCAGTGGGGGGCCGAGGTGCACGTCCAGCGTCGCGTAACTGGCTCTCGAACGAGCGACCATAGCCGACTGAACATCGAGAGGGGGCCGATGACGCGGCCCCCCTCAGTCTTCTTCGGCAGGAGCCGCCCTGGAGTGATCATGATCTGATACGGCCAGGCCAACTCCGATTCGATGATCATATACAGGGCAGCCAAATCGTCCAAGGCAGTACCGGGGTGTCGGTCGAAGTCGATGGGCGACATGCGACCCGCGCCCGCAGCCACGCTCCTGCGGGCCCGTCTGATGTCGGCGCCGGTGATGGGAGGGAGCGGCCCCAGCCCGGCGCGTTCCCGACCCTGGCGAAAAACCTCGGTAATAGCTGCCTCCGTGTCCATGCTAGGAGCCCACTTCGTGCGCGACTTCGCAGCCTTGTGATCTACCAGCTCCAGCGGTTGGTAAAGCGTCTGCCCGCCGACCTCCAGCTCCTGCTTCACAAGGGGATCCTCGCGAATAATCTTGTGCAATTGAAGATTGCTCCGTCATCCATTTACTGAACTTACGCACAGAAAAAGCTACCGCCCTCTGCTGAGCGCGGTCCGGAATGCGCAACGACATGTCAGCCATAGCCTGCAGCCGCCGACCGTCCACCGTGGCTGCCGCCTCGCGCAGTTCATTGGCTAGCTCGACCCAGCGGTGCCACTGCGGATCGCGCTCGCGAAGAACTGCGGCAGCGTGCTCGGGACATGTAGTCGTCTGCAACTCGAGCGCCTCAAAGAGCCTGGTCCGTTGTCGATGACCGTTGCCGCGACCGATATGCCGACTGAGGCCTGCAAGATCTGCGTGAAGCCGACCCCGCCAGCTCGCGACCTGATCTGAATTGGCAGCGGATCTCTGTCTCTCCTGCTGCCGAAGCATAGCAACACGGAAACCGGGCCCTCTGCCACGAGAGGCTCGAGCAGAAGCCTGAACGTCGTGATGCCTCTGAATGGCCA